CGGATGCATGCGGAGTCCAATGATAGGGCGTCACGTGCCGAGCGGGCCCCACGATTCTTGACACTGACCAATGTCAATGTATTACGGCGGGGCCTACTTGGCACGTGACGCCCACCATTAGACTCCTAAGGCAAACTACTTCCTGATGTAATATTATCTCAAGGTAATTAGGGCGGCCATGCAAAAACTCCAAGTAAAATTAATTTAATTTTCTACAACAATATAAATTTTAATGAGCAGAGGCTGGACTAAATTTAATACTTACATATGCATTCCAAGTAAATTTATATACTCATCCAATTTTTAACATTGAGTCACTGCACATGTATTCTAAATATTGATATTTGTGAGCAAGAATATCATTCTAAATTTATGTAGCGCAAAGTTATTGCAAATTCTATTGTTGCATTATTGTTCATAAGCAGAATTACTAAAAAAAAAATTGTGTGACATCATCTTTGTTTATAAGATAAACAAGGGAGATGTGTCGAACTTAGTGGGAATGAGTATTTATTTCTCTTTTACTAAAAAAAAAAATTTTCAAAGTTGACGTTGCATTAAATTCATTACTCTTATGTATCTTAATAGGTACCTCGGACTCACAACGAGTAAGGCATGGGGATCCACCATGATGGGCGAAGGTCTCATCATTGGTGTACTTGACACTGGCATCAAGGCTCGCCATCCTTCATTCAAAGACACAAAAATGCCGCCAGCACCTCGTCCTCCAAAATGGAAGGGCACTTGTTTTGCAGGCTTTGCATGCAACAATAAAATCATTGGAGCGAAGGCCTTCTTTAATGGGACTAACCCTTCCCCACAAGATACCAATGGGCATGGGACCCATGTTGCAGGCACCGCAGCGGGCAACTTCGTAAAAAATGCAAATATTCTTGGGATGGCAAAGGGTGATGCATCCGGCATGGCTCCCTTGGCTCATCTCTCCATTTACAAAGTTTGCTTTCCGATATACGGCTGTGGATACAGTGAAATATATGCTGCCATTGATCAAGCAATAAAAGATAGAGTCGACATAATCTCGATGTCAATTAGTGGTGGGCATAATGATACATTTTATTCTGATGCGGTTGCTCGAGGGTCTCTGGCTGCAATACGGCAAGGAATCGTACCTGTCGCAGCGGCCGGAAATGATGGGCCAACGACTGGAACACTTAGTCATAGTGCGCCATGGGTGCTAACTGTTGGAGCAACGACGACTGATCGAAGAATATCGTCCATTGTTGAGCTAGGAAATGGAAAGAAGTTCCTTGGAGAGTCAGCGTACCATCCAAAGACCTGGGATTCAACTATTATGTATCCACTTGAGTTTCCTGGCAAGTATGGTGATGCGAATGCTAGTTGTTGCGTGCCTAGTGCATTGACTAACTTGAACTTGAAAGGTAATAACACTCGCAACACATCAAAATTATTAATCCTTGTTGCACCAACATTTAACAGTTGTTTACAAAATAAGCAATATTGGGTAATAAAAAAGTACATTTTAATGCGTTATTAAATATTTTTTTCTTTTGTAAATTAATACAAGCTCAGGAATACTGAATTTGTTTTGATTTTAGAATGAATTCAATCGTATATAGTAATATATATATATATATATATATATCTTAATATTCTATATTTTATAAATAAATGTTTTGAAAGTCTGAACATTTTTTTATCTCTTCTATTTTATCCTCAAATTTTAAGGTAGAATTTCACACGATAAAAAAATAGATTTTCTTTTTTACAAATATGTCAAATGTTATGAGTTGCATGTGATGGTTGCTAACACTCCGTCGATAGCATACTTTGTTAAAACTCACCACTTGTCAGAAGGAAGGGACAAAATATTCTATAAGAATTACCTATAAAATATTTTATGATAATTTCTGAAAAAAAAAAACTTTTATGATAAGTGAAGAAAATATGTAGCCCAAAATCTTTGCTATACTAAAAATACTCATTGGAAAACAACAAAAAACTGTGATTATCATTTTTCTTGAGAAAATAAATATTATTTGAGGTAAGTAGTAGACTCTTTCGTAAAATGAAAATAAATGAGGCCAAGGTTAACTTATTCAATTTTTTTTCTTTCATTTTGCACAAACTGCTTATCTTTCAGGATTAATAATAATAATAATAACAAAAATCTTACATGCATATTGTATCACAGGTAAAATCGTGATATGTTACGGTTGCGCTGTTTCGGACGAAGAGAGAGGAAATGCTACATATAATGCTGGTGCAGAGGGTATGATTGTAATGAACCTAGCTATTCGAGGACTCACCACTTCTTCTCCTGCCCATGTTCTCCCTGCCACAAATGTGGGCTACTCGGCCACAACAGAAATTGTAAACTACTACACAAATAACAAAGCCACTGCCACTGCTGCCATACACTTCAATGGTACCCAATTTGGAATTGAACCCTCCCCAGCTGTTGCATCCTTCTCCTCTCGCGGCCCTAGCATTATGAATGGTGGGATCATAAAACCCGACGTGCTCGCACCTGGAGTCAATATCCTAGCTGCTTGGCCCACTGATGTCGGCCCAAACCCCAACCCTCTCGCGACCCACACCTTCAATTTTGAAAGTGGCACATCCATGGCTACACCTCATGTATCTGGGATTGTGGCACTGGTCAAGAGCAAGCACCGAGGGTGGACACCAGCAGAGATTATGTCAGCAATTGTGACAACTGCAAATGACTCATGGACTACTGCAGGCGACCTCATTAAAGACGACACATCATACAATACTGCAGGGATATACGCTACAGGTGGTGGGCAGGTGAACCCAATCAAGGCGATGGACCCAGGTCTTGTGTTTGGGCACACCTTTAATAACTACATTGAATATTTATGTGGCCTTGGATATAATCAGACTGAGATGACGTGGATGGTGGGGAGTCGGACTACTTGCACTGGGGTTAAGAATCTAACAGCGACAGAACTTAATTACCCATCTATTGCAGTAAATTTGACACAATTAGCAACGAGTCAAATTGTGAGAAGGACAGCAAAGAATGTGGGGGATCCACGAGAGGAGTACATGGCTAAGATTACAGAGCCAACTGGAGTAAGAGTTGATCTATCAACTTATAGACTTAAATTTACGAGGGTGAATCAAGAGGAGAGCTATGATGTTAAATTTTTCTTAAAAGGTGCTTATCCAAGCCAGGGGAGCGATATGATACGAAGGGGAAAAATTGTTTGGGATTCAGGCAAACATTTGGTCACCACACCTATTGCTGTTAGGTTCGTGTGATTGATTATTAGCTTAGAAAGCCATGCCTTTCGATATATGTGATAATAAGTATAAAACTTATTGGAGGGTGAATAAAAAATATTCATTAGTAATATGAATAATGCAACAAAAAGGTATATTTTCCTAAATAAAACCAATTTTTGTTGGTTCAATGTACCAAATCTTTTTTACTTTTGCATCAGATATTAAATTAAATGTCTCTTAATTAGGGTGGTTTTAATGATATATTATATTTTATTCAATGAAAGGTTGTCATCAATTTTGTGAAGTAATTAAGTGGTTCATAAAGAAACATTCTACTTATGTATCATTGAAGTCAGATCATAAGTAAAAAAGGGTGAAAATAAATAACTCATGGCAACCCACATCAAATTTGTTTCAGAAAATTTGACTTTGAGATTATTCAAGGGTTTGAGTCAAAGATGAAAATTACACTATCATTTGGCTTGTGTATGTTTTAACAAAAATAACATGATAACATTTTTTGTTTGGGTTAATTGAGTGGTGTTAAAATAGTTATATGAATTATTAGATTAAATAAATCACATTAGAAATAATTGGGCTTATATTTATCCAAAAATTTATCTGATTTATGTAATAAAATATATAAATTAATTTTGGGTTGACAAATTCAGGTCAAGTCCTCTGACACACACACACAAAAAGAGAAACTTGTTCAAACAAATATAGCAATTAACTGCATAGAGCCACTTAATCATTATATTGACTTTAGCAAGAAGAAGAAAGAAATGGAATCTTAAAATTTTACCAAGCTTTACAAAAATTTATCATAGAACTTGCATCACAAAAAAGTTGAAGTCGATTGATGAAAAAATGTGAGAAATACTACTAAATGCTAGATAATCCAATTAAAAATAACTGAGCATATCTTAAGAAATTCCAAAAGCATGCCGACTATAAATTTTTAGCTGGTTTTTTGGCAATTTTTTTTACATTAAATGTGGTTGGAAAATGTTTTTAATTATTACAGTATTATCATAATGGCTTTTGCATCAAACTAAACCATCTAAAATTCCTAGAAATATCTTATAAAGAAACAATAAAAATATAAGATTTTTTATGTTTTCACTTTTTTACACCAACAATATAATCACAAATAAAATTATTATTATACTTAAGTTTATAATTTTTTTATCATCAATTCATAATAACCATATTGAGGAAAATCATAATATATATTCAAACAAGTATCACAAAAAATAGTTTAGAAAAAATCAACATTACATTTAATTATTCAATAAAACTAAAAGCACATATAATAACATGATACTTCCTCATTCTTCTTTATCGCTGACACAGTCATAGATTTGTCTTGATGCATCTTTTTTATTCTCACTTCAATAGAGGCATTATGAGTTTCAATTTATGCTGTCATTTGAGTCTCAATGTCATCAATAATTGCTGCAATACACCTTCTGATTAGGTCACCAATCAAAACAGTGCTCTAACCAAAAAAAGAATAGTATGCAACATATGTGCACCAAACCCTATGAGACAAAGACATATGTTCACATATCAATCATCGACTGCTCAAGTCATCCACTCAAACTTCTTGCACTTGCGGAATTTTAACTCAGCAACACTTTCAACCTCATATACTAATCCTATACGAAATTACGATATCATTAAAATAGAATAAATCTGATAATGAATTATAATTTTAAAATAAATATTTTACTTGTGTAATCTCTTCATGCTTGGTATCAACCAACGATTGGTTCGTTTAGTGCTGATGTGTTAAACGATTCAAAGTAATCGTGTGTTCTCTTTCAAATAATTCTTTTATAAAGATTTACAAGTTTATTAAACTTTTTAATATGGATATCACAAACTTATCTTCTCTGATACTTAGTATGAAAATTGAGCCTTTAGTACATAAGTTGCTCTTGATTTTGTTTTAACACCTCTTAACAAACATTGTTTGGAGAGGCATATGCTCTACGTAACATAGCACACTTTTTTTCTCCACTTTAAAGAGCCATCTACCCAAACTTATAATCATCTATGAACATATCACATGAATGACTATCTTCTCTGATCTTAATTTTATATAAATTTTAATATAGTATATTCATATTATTCAGTATTTTAAGCTATTATCTCTCAAAGGAATAAATCCATCTTCTTATGTCTTATATTTATAGTCGTATTTATCTATATAGAGAGATATTGGACAATGGATCCATAAAAATCAACTATATTTTTATTTAATAATGATCATGATCATTAAAACACCATACCCAAATCATATCAAACGATCAATGCTTGTGTCTTATTTTTCGATTATTCCAAAAATACATTTTTTTTGTCTTTTTATCTATTGATTTCAGAAATTAAGCCCTTTACATACGCGAAGCAGCCTCACATTCATTGTTCAGGTTTATTTGGATGTCTCAATTTGCATATTATGTGATGCATGACAAGAATATCTTTTACTTTAGCGCATAGTTGCATATATGACTTCATCATGCTTATCATAGTACTAGCAACACTATCACATTGACTTGCATATTTCCATTTGGATGTATGATACACTTATACCATCAAATGCACTAGTAGTTTTTATTGTATACATACTTTCTTTATGTATGATTTGTGAAGGTGTCACCATACCTTTCGTTGCTTTCCTTCTATTTGCCCATTTTAAATCTTCATTCTTAGAAAGCCTTTATCGTAGTATAGCAATAGAGCAAGAAAAGAAAAGAAATAAATTGGGCAAATATTAAGAGAGACAAAAGTGTGGATATTAAGTTATCTCGTAGAACAATCCTCATCAAATATGTCAGTGTGGACTGCTCCAAATAAGTCAAACCATACTCGACCCTAACAAATGTAGAAGAAGAATCCAACAATGATCTTTATATCAGAATAAGAGCAAAATCAAATTTTTTTTTTTTGGGTTAATGAGACTTGCCATAGTGAAGTATTCCCATAATAAATTGCATCTTAAGTATACATAGAAGGACTCTTGATAAACGTTTTATGTTTGCTCTTTTTATAAACACTAATACAAGGACATCAAAGAGATTTGTATTATTCTGGTAAGGGAAATCACTCATTGTCAAGGCTAAAGGAAGTTGTTGGATAAAATATCAATCACCACAACATAATAGGTAGTCGCCTTTTATCAAACGATGACCCACAAATTGACTACCAAAAACCTCAAAGGCATACAACAGTGGCATTACAGGGGTATGCCAATGGGAAGGTAATCAATGCATAGATAGGTAAAGGTAGAATATTTAGGACTCCAAGAATCCATGATCCTAGGCTATTAATTCTATTTGTTTGATTGAACATACAGGGTGTTAATTGATGGGGCGGGTAGATTTAGTGTGTAAATTTTACAAATATTTTTCAATATTACGAAATTATACACGACAGATATACAAAAATTTGTAATATAATCCCAACAAAAATACATTTTATGAAAATAATTTATCTTTTAAAACTCTTTTTAATACCATTTATAAAAATAGTTTATCTCTTAAAACTCTTTTTAAACCCTGTTAAAATCAACGCAAGTATACATATCACTCAAGTAATAAAGGGCTCTAATGGAGTCCTATATATCGATCTCATAGAAAAGTTGGAAAATCCTTTAAGTAAGTTTTTGAAATTATTTTATAATTTAAAAATACAAAAATAAAAGTAAAGTGCGAAGTTTGAATATTAACTACTAAGGTAAATGCTATTTAAAATGAAGTTGAAAAAGAAAATTAACTAACTAATAACTAACTTTTAAAAGTAAAATTACGAAAACTAGACAGTTTTTTTTTAACGGAAAGTTCAAATTTAAGAAAGCATCATTCCCCTTTACAATGAGTATATGGATTGTGAAGAAATTGAAATCAATTAAAATAATATATTGTGCAAAATAGGAGCAATCCTATTCTTTACCCTTTTCCGAGTGTCAAAAAGAATATTAACTAATCCAGAGTTTGATCCCTAATTCTATGGTTAGGCTAGGAGGATACTGATTGCCACTCTAGCGCTCCCACTACTCCCTCACCTGAGGGCTAACAATCTCGCATCACTTTCCAATCAACTGGACCAAATTGGGAATTTTAATTTGTTGCCTTAAAATCTCTAATTCTGCATCCAACAATGTATATTTTTTTATTTATTTGCACCCAATCCCATGGATGACATACTCTCTTATGAAATTAAATGTGACTCTCCCTATGTTGTAGAAATCATATCCCTTTTAGAACATATGTTTTTCAACAAGTTTTGACATTTCAATTGGCTAGTTTAATAAGTAAATGAAGATCAAAGTTCAAATCATCAAAAATTATTAACATTTAAAACAATAGAAAATAAAATCAATTCTTCAAAAACCCATATCTCAAAGTCGGGAGAAGGATAAATAAGGCTACTAAAAATTCATGAAAAGGATACGACAAAACACAAATTTCATATATAAAAACAGGTTTACAAAACAAAGGAAATAAAAGACACAACTTATCTCACAATCCTTCCCAAGAAAATCCCTAGAAGTTCTCTCCAAACCTTTCTCTCTTTACAACCCCACTCAATTCTCTCTTAGAAGCGTAATGAAGAAGAAATTTCTCACCTTCCTCTCCTCTTATAACCCTAAAAGAAAATCTCCTCTTCTCTCCTCTTGCCTCTCACACCAACTTCCTCTCTTTCTCTTTCTCCTCCCTTTTTCATCTCTATGAAGTCCTCTTTTATTTTGGGCTGCCTCCTTTGAAAAAGAATTCAAAATTCCCCTCCAAAAGTTACTTCTAAAAGCTAACTCGTTTAAATTCAAAAGATGTGTCATTTGATCCAAGAGAATTTGATCCAAGAGACATATCTTTTGATCCAAGAGACATATCTCTTCATAAAAAAAACCTTCCAAAGTGTCTAGATGCATTGAATTACTCTAATAGGTGTGTAGAGCAAGCGTGCCTTTGAAAGTTTGTGCAAAATTCATCTTAACCCACCTTAATTTGCAAAAAGTCATCTCTGGCGCATCATGCGCTAATTCTCTGTCAAATGGCGCATTATGCGCTAGAATCCTAATATATTGCTGTTTTGGTTCCAAATTTCATCTTTTTTGCCACTTTTGCTCTAAATGCATAAAAATTATAGACCAAAAACAAAAACATGAAAATACCCTTCTTTA